CAACTCCTGAGATTCTGTGATCCTGTGATCCCTACTCATCCCAGTGGCTTTTACTATTAAGGCTGTCGTAGAAGCCCTTCTTGACGCTCCTAACATTCCTAACAACTGCCAAGGTAAGCTCTGGCTTTCCTAACACCATCTTTCCATGCCCAGACAATTTTTCTAAATTTCTCCTTTGTATCCTGTCCCTGATTCCACCTCTCAAATGCTGCCTTTTTGCATAGGAGCTCTACAGTTATACCTGTTCTTAATAAAGCTGTTTTCTTGATAAAGGTGCTTACTTTCCTGAGGGTTCTTATACTTTGCTGCTATCACTTCCCTGGCCTGCATGCAATACTGTCACAAAAACTCCAACTGTACATGCTGTCCCTAAAGGCCTGCCAGCTTTTTTGAGCTCTTATGTTCTTCAGAGCTCTCTCCCATGGAATTCTCCCTGTCTGCTAAATAAATAAAGACTAATCTGAAGTCCACTAGACTGAAGGTTCAGGGTCTGTATCCTGCTGATCTTGTCCCTCACTCCTTTCAGGATCCTGAATGCCAACCATTTATTTCATGGTCACCACAGAAAATGTTGTCACTGATTATCATGTCTTCAACCAGTTTTTCCTTGATAGTGAATAGCAGATCTGGCTGTGTTAACATCAGTTCACGCGTCTAGTACAAGTATCAACCAGTTATCCCAAACACCCTTCAGAAGCCTTCCTCCTTGCGTGCCACCACATTGTCATTCCAGAAGATGTCAGGGTCCGCTGCGAGGGCCACCTTCTGTGACACAGAGATGTTCTCCAGTTGTTTAAAGAAGTCTTTAAGCTTACTTCCTCACTAGATCAGGTGGCCTGTAACATACCAAGTTATTTCAAATTTTTTTAATTGATCAAGTCAGTAGCCTTCACCTGCCTAAGTGATTTCACCATCTGGATTCTTGGCTTTCAGCTTCTCTGTAGGCACAAGTGATTTGCTCTCCCAAAACCCATGGCAAATCTATAAACACAGACAGTCTTCTCCTCACGCCAGTGAAGGATCCTTCTGGCCCCCAAGCATTCGCAGTCACATCTCTGCTTCTTAAGCTCTGCCCAGTCATATTTACACACAATGTAGTTGCTGGTGCTGGTTCTTGTGCCAGCTGTGGTGCATAAACACACCAGCACATATCTGAAGACCCTGATGGGATTAACATCCACACCAGCAACATGCACCAGTCCCTTTGCTGCTATCACTGCCCTGGCCTGCATGCAATACTGTCACTAAAACCCCAACTGTACATGCACAGGTCAGGGAAATCCACTGGCCTCACCTCAGTGGAAAAAAGAATCAAAGCTGAAAATGCCATAAAAAGGGAGGCTTCTTCCTTTTGTTTCCACACATAACTATTTTTGTGCTTTCTTCTGAAAGCCACATGAACAAACTTAGTAGATATATGCTTCCTTTAGCACACTAAAAGGTCTTAAAAGTTTTGCTTATCACAATTAGCAATGGTCTAAAACCCTGCAAGATGAGCTGACAAAAAAGTGCATGAAAGAGCAAATAGGACAGAGAGACCCTGTGGCCGACAGAGCAGCGTATTGGCAAACTCAAAAATGTCATAAAGAGAAGTTCCTTCAAGCCTGAAACAGTGGCTTTCAAATAAAAACTGAATTCACTGACGCATATATGACAGTAATTTCTTTGATTCAAATTAACCAGTTGTTTTAGCTCGCGTTTTCCGCTTGTACTTATTGACAATATATTCACACCAGGTTAACGGACTGACCTTTTTTCTTCTTTTCTTTAAGTGACTGTAAGGTTAGCTTTTTGGACTTTTGAAGTGGTTGGCCAGATGCTTTCAAAAGGAAGTTAAAGTATGTGAGTTTCAATCTCATTAAAAAGGCCTCTTTTTTTTTTTTAAACAAACTTTCCTTTTGTTCATATCGGCACTTACTTTTTTAAAAGACCCCAAGAGAGAGTTCCAGTCTATAGATCGCTTGTCCTGAAGAAAGCTCTGTTAACTATTTATAGATCATGTCCTTTTGTACCGAACTAGATCAAGCAATTTATTCAGTGCATGACTGCAGGAGAGAAATTCATTTGCTCTAAGTGTCATCAAGGCAGCCTTTTACCTGCTATGAACAAGACCAGAAGATCTGAATTGCTGGGCTTTTACTTCAAATGCACATTTTGACATTGTGTGGGGTGCCATCATTTCTTTCAAGTTTTCAAAGTATTAAGCACATCCATAGAATGGGCAGTCCTTAATCACAAGAAGAACAAATAGCCCATGACCACTAGAATAAAGCAAACACATGTGCACACATACAAATGATCTCTCTTTTCTTTAAAGTAGCACATATAGATGCAAATTACCGTTAGCTGCTTTGGTATATCTTACTTTAGAAATGGGAGCATGCCAGCCTAGAGACCAAGAGAAGCAGCACACAACAGGCAGCAGCTCCTCACTTAACAACAGAATCAAAACAAAACAAGAGAAAGGAGTGATGGCCTTCATCACCTCTGATCAGCAAGGGCTTTCTTTGAGCATTCACCAGGGAAATTATCCTCTCTGCAAAACCTAGTAGAGAGGCTGTACACAGCAAAAATGCTCCACTGCGGCAAATGCTTTCTTTTACTACTTCAGTTGTCTTGGTGGAGTCATTACTAACATAGTATCTCGTATTTGTAACCTGCCTGATTCCACTAAAGTTAAAAAAATATGAAAGTTCAAAATACAGCAAGAAAATAAAGCAGCTATTAAAAAGCATTGAAATCTGTTGGCAACAGCTTCAGACAGAAAGAGCACAGCAGGTTTGGGGAATATGGGTGTCTATTCTTAGAGGACCAATGCAGAAGAGAAGAAAGAAAAAACATGTCTTGCTTGCCTTTCCCAGTTGCTCTACTGAGACAAATCCCCTGGCTCTGCCTCACTAAAGATGCTCCAGCCTGGCTACAGGTATTGCTCCTAGATAGCTGGAAAATGGTGCAGGTGGTTCAGAAAGTATTGCTACTATCATGTGCATACCGGGCACTTTCAAAGTTGCATTGCACTCCAACTTTCCTTGGTTGACAGGATGACGTGCTGGGGATATTCTCCTCTTTAGTAGCCCTTGAGCCATGATTCATGCTTATGTACTGAAATCACTATACCTGCCTGATTCCTAAATACTTTCAGCTGCAGTTTCCATTCATTCACTTTGAGGGACACAGGGATCCCAAGCCCCATCCCACCTGACAGTATAAATTCTCAAAGAGTAGAATGATATTAAAACACCAAAGTGCCACTGCAACACATGACAGACCAAAACTCATGCTACCATTTCAGACAAAGAATGATGAATGGTTAAAAAAAATTCTATTCCAAAATGTGTTCTTTATCATGGACAATATCCATCAAATGAGAAGTGTTTTATTTCATACATCATTTATAACTTGATGCAGAGATCCATCAAAATCAGCAGGCTCCAAAATGACTGATGAGAAAGAAAAGCATCACTTTATTATATTTGGAAGTTGTACTCTACCTTGGCCTAGGTATGTAGGGTGGATGCCCACACTCAACAGAGTGTGCCACTGATTTCAATTACTTTTCCCATTGTACTACCATGGCAGCAGGACTATTATCTTCTCTCCAAATTAGTAAACAGCTAGAATAAGCAACAGTTTAAAAAAAAGTCTCTTTGATTTGACATTGTGTAGTGACAAGAAGAAAGTACAGTGGGCAACTGGGTATGGATTTCATCCAGCAGTTCCAACCTGCTGCTCTCAGCTGTCACAACAGGATCTAGGTCAGCTCTAGTCCTGCGCATATCCCCAACCCAAGGTTATTCACCACTTAAACTAAAAGCTTTACATGCAAAATATCTGCTGTTGCATATCTTCCCCAAATTGTCCCAGATGCTTCAGGACAAGCAGAACATCCCAGAATCACACCTGGTTATTTTTAAAGCCAAATCTGTTCTGATATCATCTGCAATCCAATCTATGCCCTTCAATCAAACAGCCAAAGGGAACACTTGTGTATGCTGTATCAATCCACTGGATTAAGGAAAAAAAATTGAATGGTAACACCTAGACTAGCTATATAGTTTCCCAAGTATAAGAAAAATAGTGGTTGTAAGAGACCTTTTCTTTCTTATAGCCAGAAGATAAAAAAGCTACTTCTATTTTTGAAATAAAAATAAGCATTGAGGAAGAGAAGACTAGACACACAAAAAAACCACCTGTAAAACTATTCCCATTGTTTGGTTAGTTTCCAAGTTTAATAAGTTTAAAATCAAAGCAAGTGTTTTAACTGATGACTTTCAAGAAGCTGGTCAGAAGTAACAGCATCATCAGATGCTTCCCAAATCCCTTTCACCATTCCCTGCTCCCCAGCCACACTCCTGAATCATCTACTTTGGGCATGTTTGACTAGCACCAAGGCAACAATACCCAAATACCAGCCATCTTGCACGAAAAAGAAAGAAGTGGAAGGAATTACCAGGAGTAATAGTACTCTCAGAAAAGGGAGCGAGAATGTTGGACAGGGCTTTGGGCAACCTGGTCTGGTGGGAGGTGTCCCTGCCCATGGCAGGGGGTTGGACTGGATGAGCTTTAAGGTCCCTTCCAACCCAAATCATTCTGTGATTCTATAATGTCTCTGCTCCAGAGGTGTCAGTGATAAACAGAAAAGGAAGGAATATGGGCCCACACACGAGGGGTAAGGATGCAAAGCTGACACAGCAGGGAGAAGATGAGATACCAGGAGAGTTAGAAGTCACTTACACAAAAGAGGAAATGCTAAAAAGCTTAGAAGTGTTTCCATAAGCAGAACAAATCAAGTAGCAATGTAAAAAAGATGTTTACATCTAATGCTATTTAACTTAGTTAATGGGATTGCATTGTTTGTGTTAACAAACCGATTACCGTGAATTCACTCAAAAAGCATAAAAGTAAGTTTGTGAACAGACACCTCTTCAAATTCAGTATTTCCTCATGGTTCCAGCTACTTACATTTAAATAGGTGATACTGGCTTTTACCAGAGTAAATTCAAATTCACCATGCTAATAGAACCAGTTAAATAAAAAACAGTATTTCCTTCAAAAATGCCATGTAAATAAAATTTTAGTTCTTTTTTATGTTTTGGGTTGAATAATCTTAATTACATTTTTAGCACATGAAAGTTGATATGGAAACTGTTCCACAAGTTGTTTGGAACATTCAGTTTTCCGATCTACGTAAATGTAGGGGAAAAAGTGAAGTGCACACCCTGAAACAATTTGGCATTAGAGACAGATTACCTACATCCTTTAGCATTGAACAAAGATGACTTCCTCAACAGAGAAACCTCGTGAAATTATTACGATACTGTAACTACAAAACTGCATCAGCACCTGCTAAACAGCCTTTTTATTTTAATCACTAATAAATATTCAGACTTCGGAAAAATAAAACGCATCTTTATAACAGTTGTCAGCAAGAATAGACTAAGTTTTACACTAATAAAACATGGGATTGCCACACATTAAGCTGCATATTCACTACAACACTGAAATTCTGGAGATATGAATTAGATATCAATTAGATACTAAATTAGAAGCAAACACACAGAGAATAGAAAACATCTCACGCAGCAACGAAAGGGGCATCCTGACACCAGGGGTTTTATAGGCTTTGTGTGTTTAGATATCATGGGAAACATAGATTTCTTTTTTGAAGCTTTTGTCACAAAGGGCTTATCTATCACAGAATTGCACTGTGGAGCTAAACACATTCTGGGACCTTTCAGAAACTCCATTAATATTTCTTAAAATTTTCTATCACCTTTTTCTAAAAACCTAGAGGACAAGATGGAATCTTTCAGCCTAGTAGCCATCATTTCATATTTGCCGATGTAGCCACAAAACACCAGTGAAATTACAAAGATAGAGAAATGTGAGAAGTTTACCTGTGGATAATATTCAAAGCCCTAGCAGTCCTCAGAGACACTAACATTTTCCCACTGGAAGGTACAAAACAAAAAAATCACATTAAATATTTTGCTCTGTACAAGCTTTAGTTCAGAAAGTAAGAGAAAATATAACTGCACAATGCATTCTTTGGAGAACCAGGGCTTTCATCAGGCTGCACCTAAAATTCAAAGAATCAATGCAGCTCATGTGGGAAATTTAGGAGATGGTCAATGAAATAAAGCAAAGCCAAACCAAAAATGCTAAGACTTTCCTAATATTTTTAAAGAGCTTAAAAGAGGTTCTGTGCAAGTATATCAAAAGGAAATGTAAT